AGTCAGAGTGGTGGAGGAAAAGGGGTAGATACTGAGAGTCAGTGCTGTGGTTACAGGATCTGCATGTTTAAAAAGAAAAAGTGGCAGTTGCAGCCAGGGGAGACGATCATGCTTAACCAGGTCTTTTGAATGAAACCTGGGGCCTGTGGTACCGTTCTGATTCAAATTGCAAGAAGTGTTATTTTTAACAAAGCTCCTCCTACAATGTTTCTCGCTTGACCTGCATCTCAGCACTGTAGCACAGATGCTACTGGTGCAGTTATACCCACAACATTCAGGAATAACAGGATTTCATAAATTATGGCAAGATAAAGTAGACAAAGTTGGTATTGACTTGCTGATGACAACGCATGTGTAACACTATTCCAGCTCACTTTTCTGGTTATTCCCTTTTGCATGATGAACTGGAATGATGTTTATATATAACATAACATACTATATTATGTTTATATATATATATTACATAATATATAAATATCATTCCATGTTTTATATATACATTTTATGTATGTTTCACCTTGGCTTTCTCATGATTTGTCTTCTCCTTTTTGTCACTGTGCTTTTCCCCAGTGTAAATGTAAAAGCATAAATCCAGCACAGTTTCCTCCTATCTCCTTTTAAAATCTTTAAATAGCCTTTTCTTGCTGTCATGCAGCAGATCTTAGCAGAAGTTATTTGGTGTTAACAGCACTCAGGGTGCTCTAACAAAGAAATCAGTGACTGTAATAGCTTCTATTAAACCTGGTACTATATTTTGGTAAATGCATCTCCCTTTCCTTTGCATTTGTGACTAAAAGGTGCTTTGAGGAGGAGGAGAAGGTTTGCTTTTTATAGAGCCATGCAGGGTATGGAGTCATTCTGTTGGGTTTTTCCTTAACCATCTTTCCCAAAGTCTGCTTTAGGGTGACTGTTTATGTAAAGTCTAGTGTTTCCTAGTGCTTTATTTTCAGACTTTATGTAGATGAAATGCTTGTGGTCACTGTCACTGGTTCACCACATGAAGGATGCCTAATAGCATGGGAGCTGTGTTGTCAGGGGGAGGAGCTCGTCCAGGAAACTTTTGGAAAATCTGTCTTGTTTAAAACAAACAAACAAAATTCTAGCAACATCTTTTACATGACTGTAACCATGCGTGGTATGTGCACTCCCTCTCTTCTCCTTGTCTCCAGTGTATATATAGCATGCATTCAGCCAGTGCTGTGGAGTCTGTGCACTCCAACATGCAGCAGGAAGCCAACAATCCATTTTCTATGACTCTCCCCTGCCCTGTAATCTAAGAAGGCAAGAATTGTTTCTATGCAGTTTATGGAGGTTGGAGAGGGTCTTTGTGTGGTTTTAATTTTAACACAAACTAAAAAAAAAAGAAAAGCTTTCTATTTTCACTGTCTTGCAAGGCATCCTAGAGAAATTGGAATCCTTTCCCACAAGGGAAACTCTGAGTACAGTACATATGGTTTATATGGCCAGGGATTGATTGCAGGATGTACTTGCCTGTAGCAGGTTATCGAGTAAAACTCAGCAGATCTGGAACTGAAGGAGGCTGCTTCCTGCCTGTAACAAGACCAAGAGATTTTGCAGACCATTAATTCATCCCTCTAATCAGCTGGAAATTTCAGAGGTGCTTAAAAGAGTTACCTCTTGGGCACCCTTGGAAATACCAGTTAACTTCGTTATGCTTTCTATGTTGAGTCTAATCTGTGCTTGCAGATTGATCTTTTTCTCATGATGGAAATGTAGTAGTAGTAATTGCTATTGCATCTTTGATAGGAATCATGCAACATGAATCAAATAGTAGAACTCATTTTTAAATAACCTGAAATATATACAGTAATCCTAAGGAATGCATGCTCAGTTCTGCTTGGGCTGTCTGTCTTGTCCTGCTTATCTTCTGTAGAGGCATGATTCTCATAAGCTTAAATCCTGTGCTAATGTGTCTCACTCCTAAATAGGACTACCTGATACAATTTGAGTTTATCCTCTTGGTTGGAAAGAGGTTAATTAAGGGAACAATTAGAAAAGCTCATTAAAACTGCATTCAGGTTCAGTGTAATGAAAAGTGCGCTTCCTGTGACAAGATGATTTCAAAATCATGCTCTTCTGATTTCTCCCTGACACAGTTCCCCAGCACTAGTCCCTGTGTGCTGGTTTAAAGCAGTGTCTTGGGCTGTGCTGGTGTCCTTGTTTGCATTACTGTGGTGGTTGTGATAGAGACTGGAACAATAACCTTAATCCCAGGCACCTTCTCACCCCTGAGGGAAGGGAGGGGTTCCGCAGGAATTTACAATCTGCTTTGCATTGCATTTCCATTTCTTGGGTCTCAGGTTTTTACAGCAGGGAAAGCATGAATTCGGATAGATTACCCCCAACTTGGCTTTGCAGACAGTGTCAATACTGAAGCCAGCTCAGACCTGGCTGCAGGAGCCTTCTGCAGCTGTGAGCACCCCTGCATAAATCCAGTCTCTGGTTTTTCTGGGACTGGTTCCTTACAAAATGGCCATGTACGTGCTAGGTTAGCATAGTCCGTGAAAGCCAGTTCTGTGTCCTGGGTTCTGCTTCAGTGGGCTGAGACTGTCTGTCTGAAAACAAAATCACAGCAGCCAACAAATTGTTTGCTTGTGTAGTCAGCCCAGCCTCTGTTTCTCGTCCCTGGTTCCAGTCTGAGATTGCGGGTAAGTCACATGGCTGGATCGGACAGTCTGGGGAGGCTCACAGGGAAAAGCTGTGTCAGATGGGCCTTTTCAGCACTGGGCTAGTTTAGACTTCAAAATTCAGGTCGATTCATGATTTTGGAAAAGTAACAGATTTTCTTAAGATGTGCTTGTACTCACAGAATGGCGGGGCTGCCTCTCACAGGGGTTTGGGTGCAGGTATCACCTTTTATCCAACGTTGTTATGGCATCAGTAAGTGTAGTAGTACTGAGTTGGGGAGTTATTTTACCATCACCTGGGAGCAGTTTGGCAGATATGGATCTTGCATTACTGGGTCCTTCTGGAAAGGAAGACTTAAGTGGCAGTGGGATAGAGCTCCATTCTGGTATGAGGGTGCAGTGGGGGATCTTCTGGCCTCAGCAGTGCTGCAAAACTGCCTCCAGGCTCTATGCAGCCAGCCCTGTTGATCAGCAGCAAGTTGGGATTGCACTGAATACTGTTGAACAGAGACTGATTTGTCCTTGACTCAAATGTTGAAAAATGCTGAGCAGTTGGTGTTACAGCAGAGAATTCCATCGCTCTGTGAAAGAAATCTCAGCTTTTCCCTGATAAGGACTTGAGAAATGATGCAGCTTTGCTCACACTGGTTTTGAGCTTCAGTCCATGTGATGCTCATTGCAAATGTATGTACTTTCAGCTTTTTTTCTCTAAGCTAAGCCATATACCAGTGTGAAGCTTAAAATCCAGAGCAGTGGTTCAACATCCTTGTTTCAGGTTCATCTCAGTAGGGTGGTACCTGCTGCTGGCAGACACTGCAAGGCACGGACACTGCTGCTTTGAATTGTGCCTTCGTATTGAGTCTGCAGGGAAGCCTGTTTAGAAGGGTTAGATAAACACAATTAGGCTGCATTGCCAGCAATGATGTTTTTATTTAATGCATTAATGAGTGCAGGTGGCAGGACCTCTGAAGTGAATTAAATGCAGTGCAAACTCCTGCTGTACTAGCAAGAGCCATTGTGAGCCACTGAATGCTGAGCCAGCTCATTTGAGAGATGAGGTGGGAGATGGGAATGAGCTTCCCATGCCTGAATGATAATTTTGAGCATTACCTTACAGCACAACCAGCTTGTGCCAAAGAACCAAGAGCAAGAGAGTGTGTTTCAGAGCTGCATTTCTATCAATAACAGCATTAAGATAAGGTGGTCACAAAAACAGATTTACTTCCTTGTCACCTTATTCTGTTACCTGGTAGGATTCAATAATGCACTGGTTAAAAGAATTCTGTTCAGCCCACACCAGCGCTTACAGTGCTAGAACACCACCACCCAAGTCCCTTCGTTTCCTTCTGTAGGCAGGATGCTGGAATCCAGCACAATTACTGTGCTCTGCTGGCTTTTCCCACGGTGAAACCTGGTTTTTATTTCCTTGAACCTTGGTATCAGTGAAATGATCCCTGGAAAGCTTGTATTGATTGCACATGATTGTCTAATTAAAGTGTGATAACAAGAATTTCAGAACACTCGCTCTCACAGCCCTGTGCTTATTGTAGACACTGTAAGTTAGAAAGCTTGCTGCTCAGATATGGAAAATGTCAGTGCATATTTCCTTTTGAATTTCCCAGCAACTCCTGAAGGCTGCACTTGTAGATGTGTCGTTATTTTTTTTCCTAAAATAACAATTGGAAAGAAATGTTACTTAGAGAAGAAATGAGGCCCTCTAGGCTTGCAGGGGCCCTGTTCTGACCCTGCTAGCTGTTACCCATGTTGTCTAAAGGGAAGCACTTCTAAATGAATGTATTTTAATCTGAAACCTGCTAGATGATCCTTTTTTAGCATCATGTGCAGAGAAGGGTATTAATTATACATTATATAGATGCAAGTCTTTAAATAGTGCTCTCTGGTCTTACCTGGAGGCTGTTCGTTGATCTATCTGGACTTTATGGCTGTTTTGCTCCCTGTTGCTTGTGGTTTCATACTTTCTGGTAACTTGGATCTTCCTGAGATGTGTGCAAGGCAAATCCTAGTCCTCGATACGTCGCAGGAACCCAAGAGTTTGTCATTACAGGTCTGCATCTTGCTTAGTCACTGATTGAATAGGTGGCCTTGGGGAAATCGCTGAACTTACCCAAACCTTCTGCTTGCATCTAATCACTGGGTGATCCATGGCTCACTGTGATACATTTACAGAGCTTTATGAATGGTCAGTAATTCTGCCCAGGATGCTGAGCAGAAAGATGCTATAGAGAATGGTGGAGTTTGAATTAGTGAATGATTCACCAATTGCATACAAACCCCCTTAAATATGTTCGGTCTCATGTGTAAAACTGACTTTTCCCTTTCTTTCCCTTCCAGATGTACTTTCCGATTCCCCAGCACAGTTATAAAGATCCAGTTCACATCTTTATACCATAAAGAGGAAGTAAAAGAGGAAACCTCATCGCCTCCCCCTCGGCCACTTTACCCTCAAATATCACCTCTGAAGATCCACATCCCGGAGCCGGATCTCCGGAGCGTGGTCAGTCCCCTCCCATCCCCCACAGGCACTATCAGGTAAGTTGGTAATTATCCACAGTGTGTTCTCTGACATCAGTCTGTCGGCCCTGTTTTGTTTGGTATCCTTGGTGCAAGAAATGCCCCATTAAAAATAACTAGTTAAATATCTGATGTTCAGAATTATGAGAGACTGCTAAAAACTGCATTATGGTGGCTGGAAGAAGGGCACAAGGGTTGTGTTTAAGAGCTCAAAGGGCTCAAGGGGAAACATAAAGTAGTCTGATATCTGTAGTTTCAGAGCTATAGAGTTACTAGTCTATCTTTGGAAGTGGAATTAGAAATATTTATTGAGAGCCACCTATATGCATGGAAAAAAGAAAGCAGGCAAATACTTTCTATCTTAGCACTGCCTGTTTTATTTTTATCTCAGTAATATTCTGTTGTTGCTGGGTGGTGCTGCTTTATCTGAAGTTAGGGACAAGGGTGGCCATTGGCACGTGGTTTCCTGGGAATGGAAGGAAATGGGGGTAGGATGCTGACCATGTACTGAGGGGCTGTAGCAATCTGAATGTGCATCTGTGCCAGTATCCTGTTTTGTACATGATCTGATTGTGGATGTGCAGTACAAATAACCTGAACATCAAGTTACTATCTGGAATATTTTCTTTCCTTCTCAGCAAAGAATTGATGTTACAGAGATTCAGTGAAATCTTTTAATGTTACATCTGTTACTTGAAGTATAATAAGTTTTATAAAGTAAAGGAGAGTCATGGTATAGGATGATGTATTAGAATTTTAAAACAGATGGGCATCAGAATAGCAGGAGTGAGCCTGGTAATAGCAATAGCCTTTGGGTTGTTTTCATGTCTGTACATTTGTAAAAAGGTAAAGTACACAAATCCCTCCTGACAGTTACTACTAATTCAGTGAATAGTATTCAAATACAGGTGGCTGAGAATGACTTCGGTGTCACAATGAAGCCAGTTTGGTTTTGCATAGATCTGGAGGCTCTTGCTTGTTTGGGTTTTTCCACGGGTCCTGCAGAGCTGTGCAGATGTACAGTGCAGATATTCTAGAAAGAGGGGGCTGGAGGTAGCTGTGGTTTTAGCCCTCTGTTCAGGCACTGCTTTTAGTTTATATTTAACCTTCTCTTTTTAGATGAAGCTTGTTGCTGGGAGGGGAGGGGGATGGTTCCTTTGCCAACATATGGTACTGAGTTTCCATTCAGTCATCTTGTGCAAAGCAGCTCAGTGTGGTTTGTGTTACTAACAGAGGCTGTATCTTTTGACTCCGGCATATGTCTGCAACTGATATTTGATTCCCTGAGAATGTTTCTTTTGCACAAGGAGAAAGTGGAAATGGTAGTGTTGAATTGTGCTCAGCCCCTAACACAGTGTTTACTAAGGATGATTAATGGTTGCATCCGTTGGTCTCAAGCAGAAGCTAATCCAGCCAAGTCTTCAGAAAACCTCAAAAGACATCTGAGGTTTCGCTTGCCAAACCCCTTTCGTTTCCGAGTTCCTCTTACAGAGGAGGGGCTGACACGTTTGTAAACATCCCTGCTCAGTCCTTTCAACCTCCCCCTCTCCCCCAGCAGGGACTCGCAGCTCTGCCCTGTGAGCCAGGCTTTGGAAAGTCATTTGGGTGTTTCTGCCCGAGAAAGGGAAGGCTCTTTGGGGACAAAGTAGCTATGCATTCTGGCTATCTGGCTTTCAGGGCAGCTCTCTGCTGCTTTCTTGGTGGGTTCACAGTGGTGGGTGAGTCTGGCACAATGTCCTCTCTTCCTTCCCAAGGGCAGGTCTGCGAGGGCTGGTGAGGGCTCAGCATGGGATCTGCACTCCTCTCCCATCGCTGGCTTTGGGAGGTGGTTGCATGAGCTGAGTTCTCCTCCTCCTCCTCCTTCCTCTCCCCCTTCTAGTATTTACTTTCCTAATTTGGTGAGTTTGCCTTGCTCCTCCCTGATTGGCCCATGGAAAATTATTGCAGTTTGGAAATCCTGGGCAGGGTGAAATTTCCTTTTTGGAAAGTGGCTCCTGGCCCCCTTTTCCTGCCTCCACCCTGGTGCAGGGCAGGGGCTGTACCTGCACTCCCAGATCCAGCCCTGCCCTCCTGACCCCCAGCCCTGCTCTGCCTCCCTGTTTACACTGCAGCTTGCTTCCCTGCAGGTTCTCCCCTGCAAGCTTCTGGGTTTTTTTCCAGCCTATTTATTTTCCCTCTGCAAAGTGCAGCACCTAGAGAGGGAATGAGCTTTAGTTAAACAAAACCAAACCTGCCACCCTCAGCAGCTTTGCAAAGCAAGATTCCTGCTTGCTCCTGGGGAGAAATATGCTCACTGTTTTCTCAGCTAGGTATTTTATCTCCAGGAGGGGCTGTGTGTGGATGTGTTTTGAATGCTGTTGTACAGCTTTAAGGGAAAATGTTGGTTGGCAGCATGCTGTGAGGGTTACACACAGTCAGGGTTTATTTCTTCCTGCTTTGAGTTCAAAATTCCTTTTTAAAAAAATCAGACTTGCATGTTCCAGAAAGGGAGAGGCCACTGTGATTGTAATAAATTGATAGAAGCAGCCTGCCATTTTATACAATGTGTGGGAGAGCAGAGGAACACCAAATCTCCTCTCAGTAAGTTCAAGGCATTGAAAAGCTGTGTGAAAACCATGTGCAGTTTGGTTAAATTCACCTCTGCCTTTTGGGAGATAAAGCATTTCAGGGTCTGCAGCTTGTATTTGGAGGATCCTCTTTGGGTGACAGTGGTGTTATGAAGTTTCTCACCTATGCTGCAAACTCTTAGCTTTGCCTTCTTTTGTGATAAATCCACAATATCTGCATGAATGTGACTCCATATGTGTTGCAATCCAGGCTTGTGCTTGGATTATAAACAGATCCATAGAGACAAGGTGTGATGTAGGAGCCTATTACTGGTCTCAAAGTCATGCTGAGTTGGAGATTAGATTTACAATGTTTAGTTTTCCTTTTATTATTGTCCAATTTGTGTTAATGGCCCTGTAGTTGTAACCTAACTCAGTTTTTCAAATAGCATCTCTCTTCAGCATTGCCCCTCAGAGTTAGGTGGTTTTAGTATTTATGAAAATTAAATTCTTTCTCTGTACATGCTTCCCTATTCTAAACAGCAACTGTGATCTCACTGATAGATAGATAGATAGATATAGATATATATGTATAAACTACAGTAAAGAAATACCAAATGCTGTACTGAGGAGGTCGGTGCCATTATTCATATTTTACAACTACTGTTTCTGGCTTATCTGTGCTCTGGAATGACTGTGGGCTTGAACACTTTGTCTTGTTTGGGTTTTTTCATGGAAAGGGCATGGATAGTTAGCTCACATACACAGTCTTTATCAGTAAAAAGAATTCTTTGACATGTAGGAGTAATAGTCGTTATAGCCCTGTGAGAACTGCTGCTTGAAAAGTGTCTGGTGAGGTTCTGTGCTAGTAGAACTGGTACATATTTGTGTGTGGACTCAAATCTGTATTTTAACTGTTAGTACTTAACGTGCCTGCCCATGTCTGACTGTTACTGGAAGAGTCGGTAACTAGTTTTCAATTAAATTAATGGTATGAATAATGAGAGATCAGCAGCTTTCATTCTGTAAGCTTGATTAGTAAACCAGAAGATGTGAGTGAATTGCCATGGTTTCATAAGCTATAGTCCTTTTTTTCACTAGGCAAAATTAGTTCAGTAACGTGTTACGTGCTCTGATAGCGAATTACTCAGAGGTAGCTGCAATTATCTTGACTTAGCCACCAACTTGTTTTGTGGCCTTTAACAGGTCATTTAAATTCATTGTGTAATTACTGCTTTACAAATGTGTGTAGTAGATAAATTATGTATTGACCTTCTACTCTGTAAAGCATGACAAGAGTGTGTGTGAGCCATGTTACAGCAGACCTGCAAATGCTGGCTATGCTTTGATCCACACTTGGCTTGGATAAAGGGGGAGCTTTTAAACAGGCTCTAGGATAGCCATGTACCACTGCTTCAGAACACCTGGGATTTGATCTGAGTTTGCACATTGGCTCTAAAGGTGTGCAGTGGGACTCTGAATGAACCCTGACTTGAGTGGATGCATTCAGTCACTGGAACGGGATGCATAAGTATTGCCTGCTCCGTTTCATTCAGGCTTTCCTTCTTCCCATTGAACTGAAACGCCGCCGAAGAGCTCCAAGGCACGTTTTTTGCAGGCTCTTTTGCATTGTCTCAGTTATACATTACTTCCTGCATTCAGGCAGAATATGCAGCTCAGGCAGCTCCCACAGTTGGACAGACCGGTGATTATTTTTAATCACCCGAGTCTCCAAACCACGAGCCAAGGAGCATGATGCATATACATCATGTAAGAGAAGCACCAGTCTGTGCTGGGCTTTGGAGCTCTACTCATGTTTGTTCCAGATAATGGACCATGTGCTGGAGGAGATGTGCCAAGCCATGTGTTGGAGGAGAGGTTGCAGATGTCACCAGCTACAGGAGCACTTCCTCTTCCCCAGTCAGTATAAAATTTTAGTTCACTGAATCCACGAGTGGAGTGAGGTCACTTCCTTTCAGAGAGGGGAACCACTGGAGCACTGACAAGTAATAAAAATTTGAACTTTTGTGGATAGCTCACTTTCATTGTGGCTTGTTCGACAGCTTTGTTTCTCTTCAGCGTTAAGCAGGCAGGGTAGCTCTCAGATTTCTCCTTTCACATCAAAATCCAGCTTGGTTTGGCAGTCTCACCACTTGTGATTATTTCTGAAACCTGTCTGAAACAGGCAACGTGCAAGGACTTGCCTTTCTTTGAGTTATGATTTTGGGGCTAGGCCGGGGAAGGCGAGAGCAGCGGAGGATTCTCACCCATTCCTGCTGATTGGTGTATCGTGGAAAGGCTTGTTTCGCAAGTCCAAGGGCTGTACTTTGACCTGATTCTTGCTTATTGCACGTAAAAAGTGTCCCTGTGTCTTCATGTCCCTTTTTTGCGGACTCGTGAAGTGGAATATTGGGGTAGTCTGAGGTTTGTGGCATTTCTCTAACCAGAGTCCTTGAGCAGAGGGCAACACAC